CTCGTCTTTCTTTATATTGTTGATGTTGTCAAGAGAAGTATTAAATTGATTGGCTTGCCTAGCTCCTATTAGTAGGCGCCATCACGACTCCCGAAGGTGGAAAATCCGGGTCGTGACACAAAGTTATACCACCGGAAAGCAAGGAGCTATCTCTATAGGGTAAAATATGCTATGTTAAGTCGTGCATGAAATATATATAATATAACTGAGCATAAGTTTCAAGAATATATAATGTATATTATAAAAATACTTTTATTTAAATAATTATTTTTATATTACGTGCATGGAATATATATTTTACAACCTTTATTTTCTTTCATTTGAATTGTGTAAATAAATTTTTTAATTTTTTTGTTAGTACTAAAATTATTATTACAAACAAATTATTCTAATTAATTCTTTTACTATGATCATTATTTTATTATTCCACCACTATAGATGCTTAAATACTTTTTATCTTTTTAATTTATAAATAATATTTATTTATTCTATAGGTAAATCCATAATATAAATTAAAAAGGGGAAATCATAATATTAAAAAGTTCAAAAAATAAAATAAAAAGAAGATAAATATTTATAATTTAGAGGGTAAAATAGGTATTTGGCAATCCAAAATTTGAAAAGTCTAGTTGAGCGACCTTCTGAGTTCAATAGGCATAGTTCAGTGACTTTGTTGTTACAAACGAAAGTATATTGACTTTAGGAGATAATTTGGGATAGTTGAATGACTATGTGAGTAATGGACTCTTCCAACTGATTATAATATTCGAAAAACCTTGTTAGAGTCATGAACTTATGCAAATTGAAAATTGAATAAGTTTATGCCCTCTAGCAAAAAGAATTTCAGTCTCTAAACTGAATGTTTAAGGTAACAATTGGTATATGAAGTTCTTTTTTTTTAATAGTAATAGATATATATTAGTTAATAGGCATCATTACATAGTATTGTGTCACTTAGTGTGACATTGTTGTTGGACAACCCTGTATGCAAAATAGCATCACTAGCAATGTTTTGGTTGCCTAGAGTTGTAAGCATATTACAAACTTAAATAGAAAGTTGCTTTGAATGTTTGCTTTCCCCGTTCCTATCCATGCTCAACATGTGTTGTACACAAAAAGGCAGTGTTGCAAACAGTTTTATTTTCTCCGGCATATATTTTTTTTTTCTTGATTTTTTGCTTCCTTAGCTAGTGCATCTGCAATTGCATTTCCTTTTCTGAAGTTATGCCGTAGTAGTAGACCCTTCTCCTGGTGCATTAACAACCTGCAAGAGTATTAAATTAGATAAAGAGGTGTGGCCATTGTTGATGGCGTTTATTACATCCGTTGAGTGTGTTTCTATTTCCAGGGAAAATAGGTTGAACTTGTGTGCCATTTGTAGTCCTTCATAAAGTGCCTGCAATTCAGTATGAGGAGGGAATAGACTATGACAAAACTTCTGAAATCCAAGTATCCATTTACCCGTATTGTCACGAAATATACCACCTATGCCACTTTTTAGCTTTTCAAAGGCCCCATCAATATTAAGTTTAATCCAACCTATTTGGGTAGGATGCCATTTAATATGGATTGTTTGGAGGTATGAATTGTTGCAATACTTAAACTCATAAGGTGGAATTCTAAAGATTGATTTATCAATCTTTGGAGGTTGGGAGGGAGGGTTGTGTTGTTGCAGTTATTGGTCTTTCTGTTAATCCATATCCCCCATATAATGAAGGGAAAGAGTTGATGCCAATTAATATAAGGAGATTCAAAATTTATTTTACTGTCTTTAAGGTGGAGTAGACAGTGTTGAGTGTTTGGAAGAGATCCCTGATTCCTAAATCATCCCAGAGGGTTTTCACAATGGGGCATCTTATGAAGATGTGGGTTATGGATTCTTCTTCAGATAGGGCATTGGTTATCTATATTAATGCCAATGTGATGTAGATATTGGCGACAAGGAATTCTGTTGTGTAGACATTGCCAAAAGAATAATTTAATTTTATTGGGGCAGTGTAGTTTCCAAATCCACTTGAAATCATATTGATGATTAGTCGTAATTTGGAGTAACTTTGAGCACGATTTACTTGTGAAGCAACCATTAGAGTTGAGATTCCTTATCGGTGTATCATTATTCCCAGTATTTAAGGGAATTGGAATTTGATTGATACTTGTTATTAATATCCTTTGGAATTTGGAAGGATATTTTTGTTAGATCCCAATGGTTTTCAGAAATGATATATTTAATCTTCATGGTTACCTCCTCTTTTTTAAGGGGTCCTTGAATATTTAAACGTAGAGGATGGTGGTCCAGAATCTAATTGGAGTGCCAAACACTAAGGGGCGAGTTTTTACAAGGCTGCCATGTGATACCTGTCGACGCCCCCTTTTTCTCGCGAAATCGGGTTTACAACATTTGGGAAGACAACTCTATTCCCGTTTGGGAATTGGATTTTTGGATTTGAAGAGTCGCCACCTAATGATTAAGTGCATTAGGACACCACGAGTTTTGAGTTGGAAATCCAGAGTTCGGGTAAGGGCTAGAAATTATCTCGAGGGGAAGGTGTTAGGCACCCCTCAAGATCCACTAGTGTGGTTCCCGGCCATGCTATGTTGTGACTTTAAATACAAACGAGCATACAAATAATTCCACATAAAGATTGCAGGTAGGTATGCATAATGGTTGACAAGCATGTTTGACATTAAGATCTAGGTGGTCTCACAACTTATTTAAAGGAATGTCCAAGTGTATAAAATTAAACAAAGAAGTGAGTGAACATAAATTTTAAAAGAATAGTGCAGGAAGTTGAGGAAGAATTTGGTGACTGAAACGAAAGACAGAGTTTTATTGATAATAACAAAGTTATATAAAGGAAAGAGGTCCTAGGTTTGTAAAACACATGGATCATCCACACAACACCGGTAGCCAATCGTATGCATGGTGTTATCGCGTGATCATCATCTCCATGTCTACCATTCCCACCCCGTTAAGGTGTTAAGCGCGGAATGGTATCGTTACCTACTGCATGCTATTACCCGTCCCACCTATAAGTCCCGGAGGCATTTGGGACTACTAATCCTAAAGGGGAGGGAGCTTGGCTTTTTAGAGTTTTAAAAGGATAAAAATCTAGGGCGACAGTCAAAACACATAATGCAATAAAGGGGAACAAGTAGCAATTAAG